TAGTGTGTGCTGGGCTCCTGCTGAGCAGAGCAGGGGCTCTGCCCCCTCGGCTTGTCACTCTGAGAGGTTCCAAAAGCAGGAGGCATTCCTCCACCTGCATCCCGCCCCAGGACGGTCAGTACTTCCAGGTGAGTAGAGGTTGCTTCATCTCTCACAGCCACATCCAAAGTCCCGATGGATCTGCCGAGAAGCTGGACCTGTTTCCATCCACCCATCGATGGGTATGAACTTGAGAGCAGAATTAGTTGCTCACACCAACAGCCTGCCTGATCCACTACTGCATCTCCGGGTGGGCGTAAGTCTACGATGAAGTTTAACAGGTTCAAGATGGAACATCTCAGGGTGACCGTGACGCAGCTCCGGCCCCTCTCTCTGAGCAAGCCCTGCTGTGTCACACCACAGCTTTCACCGATGCTCCCGAGGTCGCTGCTGAGCACAGTGAAAAACGGGGAATATTTCCCTATGGCAACTCAAAATTAAGCCTTTAAGGTGGGCCTAAGTCTACGATGAAGTTTAACAGGTTCAAGATGGAACATCTCAGGGTGACCGTGACGCAGCTCCGGCCCCTCTCTCTGAGCAAGCCCTGCTGTGTCACACCACAGCTTTCACCGATGCTCCCGAGGTCGCTGCTGAGCACAGTGAAAAACGGGGAATATTTCCCTATGGCAACTCAAAATTAAGCCTTTATCATCCCATTAAGATGCTTCTCACAGAGAACAAGACAACAGAGCACAAATCCAAGGAAATCTCTCTCGTGCTGCTGCTGTGCTTGCAGCAGTACACAGCACCTGAGGGCCAGACCTCCACGGAGAAAGGGTCTGCAGAAAGAAAAGGAATGACTGAACTTGGGATTAGCAGCTCTTCTCCCAGACCTGTCTGTGGATGTGGCAATCCACCCTCATGAGCTCCAAGGACTCCACAAGGATTACATTTAGATCGTAAAGACCAGCATCTGATTTTAACCTGAAACCTTGTTTTCAGAAGAGGACGATTCTGCTGCGCTCCTGACATTGGGAAGGCACAAAGCAGTGTGTATCAATGTGACCTCGGCACCTGTGACGTCCCCAACCCTGTCACCTCCAAGTGCCATGACGTGCTGCAATAGTCACACATCTAAATTCTCGATCGATGGGTGGGGAGCTACACAACTGCTGGGCTCCTCCAAGGCAGTGGAGTCCCCAGACCACTGCCATGGGCTGTCCTTTAGGTCCCACCTGCACCGGAGGATGTGACCAGAGACACCTTCCCAGCACTGAAGGCACCTTCCCACCCTTCCCCAAAGAGCAGAAAGCGGAGCCTCTGTACACTTGCGTGTTGCAACTGATGCTCCGAGCACCCACCTTACCCCAGCAGCAACAGTTTTGTGGTGAGAGTCCTCCTTCGCTGCAGGAGAGCAGAGAAGGATCTGCAAACTCAATCCCAACATGTGTTCTTCTGGACTGTGAATTCCCTGGCTGCATCTTCAAATCTGGCACACAAGAAGCTGTTCCAGGGAGGGCACAACCTCCCAGCTCACTGTGACCAGGCAGTGCCCCAGCCAGACCAGGCAGGGAGGTGCTGGTGTCACTCAGATATACAGATCTACCACTTCATCTTGAACAAGATCACCAGCCCTCTGGCCACCTGGGAAGAGGACACCGGTCCCCACACCCAGTTTCGATCCCTCCCAAGGAGGGCACATAACCCCAGCACACCAGACTCTCAATATCCCAGCAGGTACCTCCTTTATCTGATGCAAGAGAAAGACACTTCTGACCCAGCTAAGCCTTAATGTCTGTTCCAAGTTTGAAGTCTTTCCTTTTTCCTTCCACCTTTTTTCTACCGTATCTTTTCTTTGTCTACATGCCACTGACCATCCTAATAGGAGATGCTTCTAGGAAAGGCAAGCATCACCATGGGGACCCAGAAAAGGGCCCTTCCAGGTTTCCTTTCTCCCCCCCATGACAATTAGTCACATCTCCCCAATCTTAAGATTGATTCGCAGATCCTCAGAGACCTCGGTAACTCTTCAAAAGCTTCTTGAATCCATCCAAAGCTTCTTGAATCACAGCAGTATCCAAACCATTCACATTTTACAGGTAGAGAAACCTGTAAAGCAGGTTCAAGGGCTTCAAACGTGTCTCATGACAGAAGCCAGCACTGACATGATGACCAGCTCTTAGGTCCAAGTCCACTTTCCTCCCACAAGCCAGTCAAGCTTTGGATGGACGCACAGTCAAGTCCAAAGATGACTGTGAGCACGTACTATCAACAAAGATCTAGGACTATACTTCTCTCATTGCCTAATTTTACCCTTTGGGATTGCAGGACACTTCTCTTTCCATGCAGCGTAACAAAAATGACCAAAATGAGGAGGTTTCTCTATACCTGCTATATGCAGATTTGGACAAGGTTATCTGTTGGAGGATGAATAATCCAGTTAGGAATCCTTAGAGGATCTAGCCTCAACAAAGAAAAAAATAAATCAGCTAACAGACCCATCTCTTGCTGGTCCTGAGGTCATTTTGCACATCAAACCCACGCTCCAGCCAAGGAGGGATCCCCATGCAGAAGGGCTGGAGCTCACCTAAGTTCTGCTGTGCCAATCCTCCTGCCCCCTCTCTCCCTGGGGACGTGACCAACATTACTCTTGGGCCACATGGGATTTTATCATTTCAGTACCCCCAGGAAGCTCCATTCGCCTTCTGTCGCAAAAGTGAGGCCGATCAAATCAATCCCTGCTAGAAGACCCAGGTCCCCATGTAAACTCTAAGAGCTTGATCCTTGATACCCTGAGCAGACAGAGCCCATGACAATCTTTTCCTCCCCAGGTAGACCTGGGAAAGGTGTACCAGGAAAACTAGATGAACTGAAGAACACAGAGCAAGACTCCATGCCCTAAATTCAGCATCTTTCTC